AAGTGGTCGCTCAAGATGGCTGCCATGACGTAATCCGTCCGCGGATTTACCTAGTCCTGACTAGAGTCCCTATATATAGAGTCTGGCCACTCGATTAGTTTTGGAAAAACATGGCGGCGGTATATGCATAGACGCATCTTGTGTTTACCATATTTATGGAATAAAACTTTTATTGACTACACCTTATTCGACTACAAATTGATAGTATTAATAAAAGCAGAGTGAAGCCTATAAAAGTAAGTACAATTATTTGGTATATGGCTTCTAAAATAAAATATCTAAGAATAATGATATTATAAAGAAGTAGGATTTGTCATAAAAATTGTAATTCTAACCTTACATTGTTTTTAATAGTTTTATTTACAATGAGTTTTATTTATAATAAGTTTTATTTAAATGAGTTTTATTTATTATTGTGATACAAACATTATTGTGATACTGAATATATAAGTAATAATAATATATATCTTTTTCCCTCCACATTGGAAGGAGAAAGATAAACTCTGAACTAGTGCAGCCAGTTCAGCTATAAAAAACAGACCTTATGGGCGGTATTCATAGTCCGTTCTTATATTCAAGATCGTCTTAAGCACGAACTTATATTCGCTCTCTTCGTCAGACACAATCTATGTGTGACGAAGAGAGCGAATATAAGTCCGTGCTTAAGACGATTTTAAATATAAGAACGGACTATGAATACCGCCCTATGAATACCGGCCATAGTGTAGTTCAGTGTAGCTTTATGGTGCACACGGAGCACAAATGTGCGATCCATACACCAGCCAATCAGAGTCCACTAACAGTCACGTGACAAGTTGGCGAGTATTAGCGTTTTCGATTATACAGGATTTGAACGACCCAAGATTGGTTAATGACGTCATTGCAACCTCTCCACCAATGAAAGACTTGCATTTATAGTAAAATAGTGATTGATCAACCCTAGATCGTTCAAACCCCGTTTATTCGAAAACGCTATATCTCTTTTTAGGGTCTCTAGGGAAAACTAGCAGCTGCCCGAAATGTGTAACGCCGAGCTCTGGTCTAGCAGATTTTAAGCCAAAAACACTTCAAAAATAAAAAAGTATAACGTTCAGTGAAGTAAACATATCGGTTATAATATCTATATTCTCACGTGATAACGTTCAATTAAGAAGACAGATATGTCTGATCCGTATACTTTTCCGAACGAGATATTAGAAATAATTTTCAATTTCTGTGATGTATATACTTTATATCAGCTTAGTATGGTATGCAAACAATTTAGTACTGTGGCAGGCAATACATTAAATAAAAAAAGTCAACATTTGTTTGTCAGTATCGCGAATCAGGAAGGGAAAAAATTTTATAAACGGTAAGTTAAATAAAGCTTAATCTTTATTTATATTGCAATTTATTCTAGAACAGTGCTCGGAATTAGTTGAGCATTTTAGCAGATTTTTCTGGTTGACACCTTCTTCCCTTTTCTTATGAAAGATTCATACTGTGATTGATGTCCGACGTACGACGTCCGATGTCCAATAATAAAGCTTGTTTTCTAAACGAAAAAATATTTCTAGCTAGAATTTCTAACATCGAACGCAGTACGAATCCACCATTATCGCCCGCACCGCAACTGTTAGGATGAAATTAGATGATACGGAAAAGAACTGCGATATTGATTACGATTCTCTCTTGATTATTGAAATGGATGAAAATTTATTAAAATTCATTAAAAATATTTTTAAATTTATTATGTTGAAATATTTCAATAGATTTCCGCGCCACCCATGAGGTACTATTGCTGACGCAAATTTTTTTCTTTTTTTTTTAATTATAGGGCAATATTTATAGTCCGTTTTTATATTCAAGATCGTCTTAAGTGCGGACTTATATTCGCTCTTTTCGTCACACACAGATTGTGTCTGACGAAGAGAGCTAATAGAAGTCCCTATTTAAGATAACCTTGAATATAAGAACGAATTATGAATATCGGCCATAGTCCGTTCTTATCTTCAAGATTGCTTAAGTATGGTTCTAAGATACTATAAACTAATTAGAAAGCCATATTAGTATCATAAGACAGTACTTAAGATAATCCTGGAATAAGAATGGACTATGAATACCGCCTATAAAAGGCCAAGAAAATCTAATTTTTCGTATTTCATTTTTTTTAATTAAGAATTCGTTGTTTCTTGTCTTCAGTGGAATAGGTCTACTGAGAAAACCACACAAAAAAAAAACATGTCGGCGTCGCTGGCTCTAGCGGCTGAGGCACTAAGGAAAAAAAGGAGGTGTCAACCATGGATATCGGCTGGCTCAACTAATTTTGAGCATTATTCTAGAACAGGGCTAACGAAATGTGGCTCGCAAGCCGATCCCTCCGTCGAACATTTTCTCCTCTAACACGACTCGTCGGCCGGCAGAACCATTGAACTATATAGCATACTGGCTTAGTTTACATCGATTGTTTAGTACGCGTACCAAGTACTAAATCTGTTTCTCCGATAGATATAAATCGTTTAGTGTAAAATCTACACCAATCAAAGAAGCAGATTTAGTACTTGGTACGCGTACTAAACAATCGGTGTAAACTAAACTATTGAAGAGCGCTTTGAAAGAATGGGGCTGATTCCACTGGGGCAGAAGAGAGAGTTATATTTCCGTCTGTCTTTTTCGCAACG